AGAAGGGGATTCTCGTGGCAGATGTGTTCCGTGGGAAGGATACTCTACTCTTTGCTGGCCTGCTCTCTTCTTTGGCTGCTGCCGGCACTTGGCTACAGGTCCGGATATCAAATTTTGGGATTATAATTGCTAAAGCAACCCCTGCATTTCGGCATAACTACTAAAATTACCCTGCCTCCCTCTGCTTATTGGGAAGTGGAAACGCATCTCTTTGTTTTTCAATTTCTATATTTATTTACTTGACACATGATTTTTGCGATTTGTGAGAAGATATATTTATCCATGGAAACAAGAACCAAAAATCTTACAACAATCTGAACTTGTATGTGAAATTTGAGCACTCAGGTTGCGTCGTACTATGGCTGGCCAGTCTCGACTACGCATTGCATAGTTGGATCAATGGTTGGATTTGGGCTTGCCTATGGAGGAACTGGTGCTGTATTTTGGAGTTCTTTGGCAAGGGTAACTTCGTCATGGGTGGTATCCCCTTTAGTCGGAGCAATGGTGTCTTTCCTTGTCTATAAATGCATTCGCAGGGTATGTACGTCTCGTCAGTGTCTCTGTAAGCTATATCCATGCTTCTTCTCTAAAATTTGTACTCATAAGTATAGTCTTTCAGATATTTTTACCAAAGATGTGTATGTTTGATTGATTATAAAGTATGATGCAATGCAATAGAATATTCCATATACCTAAAAACCTAACCCGCCTTTCATCACTTCCAGTTCGTGTACAGTGCCCCAAACCCGGGGCAAGCAGCGGCAGCAGCCGCTCCTATCGCCGTATTCATGGGCGTGACGGGCATCTCTTTTGCGGCCTTCCCTCTGAGCCAGACCTTCTCCATCGCCCTCGCCCAGGCTCTGGCCTGTGGGGCTGCCGGCGCCATCCTCGTCGATCGCATCATACGCAGGCAGCTCGGCCACCTCCTCGCCAACTCATCCGACTCCAATCCAGGCTCCAAGTCCGATGGCGGCACCAAGGGCATCGGTTTCCTCTCGGACATTGCGGGCCCCACGGGGACCCAGCTGGAGATTGTGTACGGCGTCTTCGGATACATGCAGGTGCTGTCGGCGTGCTTCATGTCGTTCGCCCACGGGGGGAATGATGTCTCCAATGCCATCGGGCCTCTCGCAGCAGCCCTCTCCATCCTCCAGGGTCGGGCGGCCGCGGCCGAGATCGTGATCCCAAACGACGTGCTGGCGTGGGGTGGGTTTGGAATTGTGGCCGGGCTCATGATGTGGGGTTACCGGGTAATAGCAACCATCGGAAAGAAGATCACGGAGCTTACGCCGACGAGGGGGTTTGCAGCCGAGTTTGCAGCGGCGTCGGTGGTGCTTGGGGCATCCAAGCTCGGGCTGCCAATCTCTGCCACACACACGCTTGTGGGGGCAGTGATGGGGGTGGGCTTTGCGCGGGGGCTCAACAGCGTCAGGGCCGAAACTGTGAGGGAGATTGTGACCTCGTGGGCGGTGACCATCCCTGCCGGGGCTACTTTCGCGGTTGTCTACACTTGGATTCTCACCAAGTTGTTGTCTGTGGTGTTGTGACTGTCTGGTGCGGTACCATTTTTCAGGGATTTTGAATTTTTTTCTTCTCTCCTTTGTGGAAATGGAGTCGATGTGGGTGTGCTTTGGCCCAGAATTCTCATGTCCTGTCACGTGTAGATCAAACTCCATCTTTGATGCTATTGTGTTAGGATCGTGAATCGTAGCCGGACATATGAACTTGTGTTGGGGGTGTGACGGGTATGGAATCCCTTGGTAATTCAATGTATACAAATTCGATTCAAATCCATTGCAAATTCGTTGGTGTTTATTAATGGAAGATTTTCGTCACTATTTGGTAACAAAAGACCATTTTTCATTGCAATATTTTGTTAATATTCTATGAGTATCCGTATTAAAAAATTATATATATATAGAGAAAATATTATATGAGAATGATAGATAGTGAAAGAAATAAGAATGCTTCTCAAACATTGGATCCAACTTATCAATAATCATGATCTAGTCCAATATTATGCATGACAGTCAAACATGTTGTGGCAATTTTATAATTAAGTGTACAATTCGAGATTAAATATAGACATTTGACCACAAATTAAAAATAAATTAGATAATTTATATCAACCCACCAGCATGTGGTGTCCGCCACCCACCCAACATTAATTCTAACACACACCTATCCACCCGTGCCACCTACCCATCCATCGATATCTATCACCAAAACACACACACACACACACAACCTTCACAGACCTCTGGGACACACCATTCACAGTCAATCGTCGGACCACCAGTGCGCCGCCGCCTAATCCCTCGGCAGCGCAGACCATCTCCATATCACCGACTCAGCCACCGATCTTCGTCGGCCCGCTGCCATACCACTAGGCGCATCGTCCACCAGCCGCCTCGACGAGCCACTCCTCGCCACCACTAGTCGGACATCGTCGACTACCCGACACAGACGCCGACGTCCATGCCTAGAGCAAGATAATCATTCTCCGGGCTGTATTTTTTGGAAATCGGCCTCGCCGTACGCAGAGTCTGGAGAGTAAATATGCGTGGTACGACGGAATATCGTGGTTTTACTCGACGGCGTCGGGCTTGGAGACGAGTGAATTTAGGCCAGAGTTGTTGCTTATGAGAGTTGACATGGAGATGACCTCGTCGGGATCGGAGAAGAGGGCGGAGAAGCTGGTATCTGAAGACAACGGCGGCGGAGGCCGGAAGAGAATGCCAGTACGAAGATGGAGGAGGAAATATGTTTAGCCAACTTGGATGACAACTTGGGTTACAACCCAAGTGTAAATGCATTATCAAGAAAATTAAAAAATAATATATTTACAATTGAGTTGTAACCCAATTTGTAACCCAAGTAGGCTTTATAGCATTACTCTTTTTAAAATTAGACAAGTATGGAGGGTAGCTTATTTAATTAAAAAAAAATTATGTGGAAAAAAAAAATACTATGGACAAGAATCAAACAGACGGATTCTGGAAATTTGTTTTTTTAGAAAAATAGATTTCCAAAATCCGTTTATATATATATATATATATATATTTTAAACGGATTTTCAAAATCAGTTTTTTAATTTTTATTTTTTTTAGATTGGATTGTGAAATTTAGGCTCGTTAGGGCTCGTCTGAACTCGGAATTGAGTTCTGTTTTTTCCTACATGTCGCCAACGAAGCCTTCTACGTATTTATGCTTTCGAATCTAATATATTCTCGAAAACTTATTATCCCAAAGCTCTTGACCTGAAGTTGGCAGCTTCCGTGCATGACTTCGTATATCGAGCCCGTTCGGACTCGTCCGAACTCGAAATTGAGTTTCGATTCTTCGTACATATCGCCAACGAATCCTACTATTATAGCATGCTTTTATGACCAATTTTCGGGTTGGAACTATTCATTGCGGGGCTTTCGGCCAAAAACGGGGAAAAAGAATAAATAAAACGAAGAAAACTAGCAAAATTCGGGCTCGTTTGGGCTCGTCTGAACTCGAATTGAATTCCCTTTTTTTCGTACATGTCGCCAACAAAGCCTTCTGTATAACTATGCTTTGAAATCCAACACCTATTCATGAAAACCTATTATCCTAAAGCTCTTGACCTGAAGTTGGCGGTTTTCTTGCATGACTTCGCATATCGGGACCGTTAGGACTCGTTCGAATTGAAATTGAGTTTAAATACTTCCTACATGTCGCCAACGAATCCTACTACTAGAAAATGCTTTTCTGACCAATTTTATGGCTGGAACTATTCCTTGCGGGGCTTCCGGCCTAAAACGGGGGAAAAGAATAAATAAAGAAAAAGACTAGCAAAATTCAGGCTCGTTTGGGCTCGTCCGAACTCGATATTGAATTCCGTTTTTTCCTACATGTCGCCAACGAAGCCTTCTATGTAATTATGCTTTCAAATCCAACCTATTCTTCGAAACCTATTATATCAAAGCTCTTGACCTGAAGTTGGCGGCTTTCTTGCACGACTTCGCATATCGGGACCGTTAGGACTCATTCGAACTCGAAATTGAGTTTCGATTATTCCTACATGTTGCCCACGATTCCTACTACTATAGAATGCATTTCTGACCAATTTTCGACTGAAACTATTCCTTGCGGGGCTTCCGGCCTAAAACGGGGTAAAGGAATAAAAAAACGAAGAAGACTAGCAAAATTCAGGCTCGTTTGGGCTCGTCCGAACTCGAAATTGAATTCCGTTTTTTCCTACATGTCGCCAACGAAGCCTTCGATATAATTATGCTTTAAAATCCAACCTATTCTTGAAAACCTATTATCTCAAAGATCTTGACCTGAAGTTTGCGGGTTTATTGCACGACTTCGCATATCGGGACCGTTCGGACTTCTCCGAACTCGAAAATGAGTTTGATTCTTCCTACATGTCGCCAACTAATCCTACTACTTTAACATGCTTTTACGACAAATTGTTACGCAGAAAATATCTATCGCGGGGCTTCCGACCTAAAACGGGGGAAAACAAAAAGAAAAACAAAAAAACTAGCAGAATTGTACTAATTTGAGTTCAATTGTCGAGTTCTATTACACTATAATTGACCGTGATTGGTACAGTACCAATCACAGTCAATTATGTTGTAATCGAACTCGAATTAGTATAATTGAACTCGAATTAGTCCAATCACGGTAAATTATAGTGTAATCAAACTAGAATTAGTCCATTCGAAGTCAAATTAGTCCAATCAAAGTAAATTACTATAATCGAAATCGAATTAGTCCAATCGAAGTCAAACTAGTACAATCGAAGTCAAATTAGTACAATCGAAGTCAAATTAGTACAATCGAAATCAAATTAGTCCAATCAAAGTCAAATTAGTCCAATCGAACTCAAATTAGTCCAATCGAAGTCAAATTAGTATAATCGAACTCGAATTAGTCCAATCACGGTCAATTATAGTGTAATCGAATTAGAATTAGTCCCATCGAAGTCAAATTACTAATATCGAAGTCAAATTAGTATAATCGAAATCAAATTAGTCCAATCAAAGTCAAATTAGTCCAATCAAACTCGAATTAGTCCAATCGAAATCAAATTAGTATAATCGAAGTCAAATTAGTCCAATCGAAGTCAAATTAGTACAATCGAAGTCAAATTAGTACAATCGAAGTCATTCTAGTCCAATCGAAGTCGAATTAGTACAATCGAAGTTAAATTAGTACAATCAAAGTCAAATTAGTACAATCAAAGTCAAATTAGTATAATTGAAGTCAAATTACTATAATCGAAGTCAAATTAGTACAATCGAAGTCAATTATACTAAAATCGAAGTCGAATTAGGCCAATCGAAGTTAAATTACTACAATCGAAATTGAATTAGTCCAATCGAAGTCAAATTAGTACAATCGAAGTCAATTTACTATAATCAAAGTCAAATTAGTACAACCGAAGTCAATTATGGTGTAGTCGAACTCGAATTAGTCCAATATAAAGTCAAATTAGTAAAATCTCGGGCAATTATGGTGTAATCAAACTCGAATTAGTCCAATTGAACTCAAATTAGTACAATCTCGGTCAGTTATGGTGTAATCGAAATCGAATTAGTCCAATTGAATTCAAATTAGTACAATTTTGCTAGTTTTTTTTCGTTTTTCTTCTTATATTCCACCGTTTTAGGTCGGAAGCATCGCAAGAAATATTTTCAGCCGAAAAATTTGCCTTAAAAAAATGCTCAAGTAGTGGGATTCGTTGGCGACATGTAGGAAGAATCGAAACTCAATTTCGAGTTCGGACAAGTCCGAACGGTCCCGATATGCGAAGTCGTGCAAGGAAGCCGCCAACTTCAGGTCAAGAGCTTTGAGATAATAGGTTTTCAAGAAGAGGTTGGATTTGAAAGCATAATTACATAGAAGGCTTCGTTGCGACATGTAGAAAAAACTGGAATTTAATTTCGAGTTCGGACGAACCCAAACGAGCCTGAATTTTGCTATTCTTCTTTGTTTTTTTTATTCTTTACCCTCGTTTTAGGCCGGAAGCCCCGCAAGTAATAGTTCCAACCCAACATTGGTCAGAAAAAGCATGCTCTAGTAGTAGTATTCATTGGCGACATGTAGGAAGAATCGAAACTCAATTTCGAGTTCGGACGAGTCCTAACTGTCCCGATATGCGAAGTCGTGCAAGAAAGCTGCCAACTTCAGGTCAAGAGCTTTGGGATAATAGGTTTTCATGAATATGCTGGATTTGAAAGCATAATTATATAGAAGGCTTCATTGCCGACATGTAGGAAAAAACGGAATTCGATTTCGAGTTCGGACGAGCCCAAACTAGCCCGAATTTTGCTAGTTTTCTTCGTTTTTTTTATTCTTTTCCCCCATTTTTGGCCGAAAGCCCCGCAAGGAATAGTTCCAGCCCGAAAATTGGTCAAGAAAGCATGCTATAGTAGTAGGATTCGTTGGCGACATGTAGGAAGAATCGAAAACCCAATTTCGAGTTCGGACGAGTCCGAACGGACTCGATATGCGAAGTCGTGCACGGAAGCTGCCAACTTCAGGTCAAGAGCTTTGGGAGAATAGG